GACGGCTTCAATGACATGCCGACAGGCTCGAACGGAGGGAGTCTTACTTTCAATAAATTTTTCACGAGTCACTAGGGACTCCGTATCACCTGTTTCTAACCGCCCTGGGGCAGAGGGATTCCTCAACTAATTAGAAAAGAGCGAGTTTCCCTCTTGTTTTCTCCCAGGACCAGGCTCAGACTCCACATTTCGAACGACGCCAGATTTTCTCGAGAGGGATGAGCACGCTCCGATTCATTCGCGCCCAACTGTTTCGTTATAGAATCTCGTAACTTTTTTTCCTCGAAAATTTAGGGTTCAAAGTTTGGATTGGAGAGGGAAACGAAGAGTCCCGTCGCCTCCGAATCTCGCCTGTCGCGTCGGAACGTCTTAAAATTGCATTAACGGAGTCCCAGCTGACGGACTCGGAGTCGCAGTGATGCCGGATTCACGCTCCACTGCACATCACTGGCCTCCATCCCACTTCTCTTTTTTTTTTTCCTTGCTTTTAAGCCCTCCCCGCTCGCCTCCTCCTCCGGTTCCAGTTTTATCAGGACCATGTATGAGAGGGATTTAATGAAGGAATCCCCTCTTATCTTCGCCTTCTTCACTCCAGTCTCTCAGTCCGTGCAACGTGGTCGTCATTACCCCTGCAGTTTCAGCTCTCTCCCTCCCTCTCTCTTTCTCTCTCTCTCACATGATGTGGCTGTTGCGCCTGTCGCCGTGATCGACATGAAAAGCGTTCATGAAGAACAGCACAAGCGTGTCGACTGAGTGCTTGGAAGTTCGGCTCAGTGCATACTTTTCCTTATCGTGGGTTGCCACTTGTGATTTTTTGTGAAGACCACGAAGTGCTCCATCGCCCGAATCACGACGAGGCCATTTCGACCCTTGCGTGCCACGCGTCCGAATGCACGCACTGACGAGTTTTAGATGCGGGGCGACGTGTGAAGCGTGTCTGCTTGCGTTTCGACGCATGCATGCCCACAAGCATCATCATTATTCCGGACGTTCGAACGTTTATAGTGCGTTAGAAAAGCTCTGAATCCGATTGCCGATAAAGTCCATACTCGAGGCTCACTCTCACCGCAAGGAGAAGGAAGATGCACGGGTAGGGATAGCCGCAGAGGTCAAACTCACGGGTTCGTACTGTATTCTTTCCTGGTCTTGGAGCGATGGACGCATGCTCCAAGTTTCCCACGGTCAAATACGAACCGGTCTGCATCGGCTGTGTGCCAAAGCTTTCCCATAGAATGGGAAATTTCCAATATCTTGTGGTGACCATGGGCTCGTCATAGTGGATGCGGTTAAGGGAAATTCTAATTTCGGGGGCTCGTTGCACGACGAAGCTCCGCGTTATTTCCCGATCGGCGAGGGAACTCAAGAATGAGGACGACAAGAAGAGTGGAACAGGGAATTATTAGCAGAAGCATTATTCATTCATTTCCAGCATATCCTGCACGAGCTTGGCATACTCTCCAAATTTCGTCTTGGGATCAGATGAGTGTCTGCACCTGATAGAACCTCGTTATCTTCTTTTCCCATTTCTGAGGGCGAGTTTCCACGTACGAGCAGGGACGAGTCCGGGGAGGGGGGGGGGGATGACTTCGATTTTTCTTTCACCCCTGACCCTATCCGCCCTTCCAGTCCAGCTAGTTTCGTGTTAATCCCCCCCGACAATTCTGCCTCCAGATTCTTCCCAATTTAAATATCCTTGACCCTGCTTCACTTAAATGACGAATTTACCTAAAAGTTATTCGAGTCACGATCCCATCCGGCATTTCTGAACGTTCGCATGAAGTAGGGATCAACCCTATTTCGTGAAAGTACTCTCACGGACGTAGGTCATCCTAGGTCGCACGAGCAACTTACATCCGAGCGTGTTCAAACCCTGCCTTAGAGTATAAAAAAAAAACAGAAAAAAAAGAAAAAAAAAACAGGAGTGGAGCAGCTGCTCGCCGTTCGTATCGCGTGCAGGAGGCATCGTTCCTCCGCAGCCTCGAGTGAGATCGAGTCGAGCGGTGAAACGGATGAATGCGGGCCTTTTTTTTTCTCATCCATACTTGGAGATTTCTAACGGTGAGAGATACGTCCAAGGTTACGGATGCGACCCATATCAGAATGAAATATTATTGTGGAATGCGGCGATAGATATAGCTTTTTATTATCCCGATCGCGAGATACTTACGAGACGCATCGCTCGCCATTTTGCAATCCGGAGTGCCAAGTTCGAAGAGAACTGGCTTTTTGCTATGGCGGAAGGTGAAACTCTTTCACCTGTCTCATCCAACGTAACTGCCAGGAAGACGCTAAATTGGGATTTTTTTCCGACAACCGCACGATATGAGGAGGAGGAAAAAATTACATGCTAGCGCTTTTTTTATTATCATTATACCAAGTAATAATGTACGGTAAAAAGGAGAAGGCAAGGTTAAAAAAAAGAAGAAGAAAATGGCTGCATGTGTTCATTTTTGTTTCTCGGGAGTCGTAGATATGTCTTGCGTGGGGGGAAACCATCATTTTTTGTATTCACGGATGGGATTCTCGGAAGCTAAAGTCACTCGTTAGTACGGAGGCACGGGGATTATATATGTGCTGCGCCTGATGAATGGCCCTTGGGTCCCCTGCGTTCTCGGAATCAATTACAGCGAACGATTAGGAAGACCTCAGAAGAGCTGAGCGTACGAGCACCTGCATTACACAGGCAGTACTCAAGGGTTCCTTACGAAACACGCGAAATACACCAAAAACCAAGAATTTCTAGTTGTAAGAAAAGTTTCGCATCCCTTTTAGGAACTATAATAGTTTAAAAAATCCAACAAGAAAACTTATAAATGAAGAAAGTGACATTCTTGCGGCGACTATCTCTGGTCGCGACAGAATGAGACAATCACGAAACCCTCATTTTTGCGGAAAATGGTTAGATTTTTTTTAAAGCACTGCATTTAGATTGCGTTTCCGCATTCTTTAATGAGGAAACTCAATCATCTCAGAATTGAGACTTTCACATAAGGAGTCACATTAATGACCGCGAGCGGATGAGATTTTGAGGGTAGATCGAATATGCCTTTCTCCTCCTCCTCCTCCTCACCTCTCCTGACCGTTTTCGTTATAGCGTGAAGTGCGAATGCCTGTGACGTGGGAGGATGGGCCCCCTCCGGCCTCTCATTCGCTTCTTTCCCGTTCGGGTTTCTGCTGCACTCGCCTCTCTCTCTCTCTCTCGGCTTATAGTGGAATCACCGTTGCTTAATCATGGGCTACCTAAGGACGAAATATGCCCCGAGCAAAATCGATGCAAGGCTGGGAAAGTTCTGGGATTTGACACCTCAAATACGCATTTTTCTTCTGTGAGAAGTCCTTCTAGGATTTGAAATTCCAGAGAACGGGAAGTAGCTTCTGCCGCATGTACCCCCCCCCCCAACTCCATTGCATAACTTACACTTATCCTGCATGAGGAAACCTAAAATATACTCCGAGCATTTGGGAACATGTAGGCCTGGTGCAGGGATTGCATAAGCTGCGTGGGATTCATGAGGTGGCGACATCAGTCGCACGATTTTGAAATCCTTACGAATTTAAGTGTTTACCCTTTGTCAAGATTAGAAGTGGGCAACGCAGGCAATCGGGCAATAAGCCATCGGCACTGATGGGAAGGGTATCGCATCAATATGAGGATCAATATCGATATCAATATCGTCGCACCCGAGGGAATTTTCGTTGCTCCACCGTCGCGCGACCGTCGCAGATGGGACCACGCACAGGGCGCAATCTGCAGGCAATGGAATGGACAATGCTGACCTAAATTTAAGGAAGCTACCATATTGAGATTTTAGGTCGTAGTGTGATCGGTCGATGCTAGAACTTGGACAGGCCCACATCGCAGCGACATTGCACACGGAGCGATATCTCGTGTTTCGACGGTCGCGCGACGACGGAGGAACAAAAATTGCCTTGTGTGCGGCGGGCTTAAGAGGTGACTCAAAAGCTGTTATCAGACGCATGCATGAGTGCGACTCATGGGAATCGTGCTCTTCAGTTGTCTAATGCTGGTATACGGACATTAGCAAATATTTGTGCCTGCGGAGGGCTTGTTTGAGAGCTAGAAGTCGAGGGAGCCACATTTGCTCTATTGCGCCCATGAGTCATTGCGTTTTATCGTCTCTACTCTTGGTTCTTCGCCTACCGTCAAAGGAAAAACTGAAATATCGTTCCAACTTCATGATGACCTAGTACGACGGGCTTCCTCGCCTGACTTCCTTAATGGCACGGCGTTGCGAGGCGATGAACCTCGGATTTTCTTCCACCCTCGATATATCGAGGCTAAGGAAAAATCCATCCGTAGAGATAATCCCAAGCGAAGGAGACAGGCTCCGGTTTTCTGGCCCGTTTGCCTCTCTCTCAAGGACGCTGGAACGTGATCTCGAGGGTGGGAGACTGGAGGTGGGAGACCTTCTACCTTCTACCTATCTGGGAGACCTTCTAGCATTCATGGGGGCTGCAGGAGCCCCCATGAATGCTAATTAAGGCTCCGTGATTCGAGTGAAAGTTCCGGGAATCGCTTTGACATTGAGGAGCCTGCCTAGTAGGGCATTAACCCTTCCGACCTTCGTTAGGACTCCCCTTCGAACCAAACCGGGGAATAATCGTCCCTCACTTTTGCCCCGAAGCAAGACGGCTTCCATCGCAGGTGGGGGCCTTCTTCCAAGAAGTCCATTTGGTGGATTGCGCACAGTGACACGAGTGGACGACATTCGGGTCGGGATTTTTTATTTTTATTTTTATCATCGAAATGAAGATTTAAGGGAGGCTGAGGAACTCAGTAGTCACCACGTGGTATGCACGGCACGTGTTTGCCACGTGAACTAAAGATCGAAATCCTTCGCCTCGTTCGAGACGTGTGGGAAGGACGGGGTGAAAGGAGGCCAGTCCTCCGCTTCATGCACATTCATGGTGATGGGAGGGGGGGAAAAACAGCTGCGCTCATGTCTTACTGTGGGCAACTTTTTCTTTCATCTGTATCGTCCGTCTCTACAGGCTTGCCCGAGTGAAACGGTGGAGTGATATTTACGAGAAGGGGAATCGAAAACCCCCTCGTATAGACGTGCTTAGATTTCTGTGAACCTCCTCCGTGTAAGGTGAGGATGGTTTTATTCGAGGACCCCGGAACGGAGTTGTTCGAAGGATTCAACTTGAGCACGTTGGGGGTGGACGAAGCCTTCGTCTCCGTGAATTCTACAACACGCTGGCACGTCTACACTCGCAACCAGGAGTGCATCAAGGTATTCCTGTCGGTGTTGTCTTCAAACCAGTGTTATCCCACTTGTATGCATTTTAAACGATAAAATATTTATTATCTTGGAGGTAGGCTTTATGGATGAAAGCAAGATAAGGTTTTCGCGATTGATTGAATTTCCATTGAAGAAGATGTAACTCATAAGTGAGAGCTATCAGGACTTCCAGATAATTTTTCATTACTTCACCCTTCCCCCCCCCCCTCCCCACC